GGACTTACAAACTTGAAACACGCGTAGCGCAGACTTTTCTGCCTTCGCCGCGACCCATGCGCTGATTGTTAGTCACAGCTTTCGCCTGCCAGCGCAACCTGTAGATTTCCTGGCAAAACTCCAGTCTCAAGGGCGCAGAATAGGCTAGCATGACTCTTGTGGCGAAAGCTGTCATCCCCAAGGTGAATGTCCTCGGGACATTCACACACTGCGAACCGCCGGACAAGAACTACAACGTCATGGTGACACACTTCACAGAAACAAAGCGGACACCAGTCAGCGTGAGGCGTTTCCCGGCATGGAGTTTCTTCTTCTTGCCCTTGTTTTCCAAGGCCAAATCTGAATTTGACAGGTCCTGGGCGGCAACTTCAAAGAAGGCTTCCACCCCGCCAAGGGCAGCAAAGAGCTCTACCAGATGGCGGTCTGACTGCTGCGGCTCCCACACGGCATTCGCTGTTTCCTTGTCTTTTGCCTTGAAGCTACCGTTCTTGTAGCTTGAGTAGTCGATTGAGACAACCGGCACCTCCACAAATTGCTTGATCACATCGGAAAGCTTCTGCACCCTGCCAGCGTAGAATACCTTTGTCCCCTTGTCCGGGTTCCAAGTAAGAATGCTGTTGTCATCTTCACGGCCCTCTGTCCTTACTTTGGGCGGCTGCAGTGGGGAGTGCAGTGGGAAGGTTGGGGGTAGGCTGGTGTGGAGGTGGTGGGCGAAGGGATGGGCCGTGTTATGGTGAAACTTGGGGAGTGGCGGGCGTTGCAGCCCGAGGCTCCCAGCAGAGAAGGTTCCACTGTCTGCCTGCAGGTAGTACATCATCTCTCCTGCAGAGAGGCGCTTTCTCCGCGAGCAGCTTTTGAGCATGAGGCCGCCTTCGCCGTTCACATTGGTCGTCTTCAACAACTTCCACCCGCTTGTCTCCCGAATGACATCAGCACTCTGAGACACATCATCAAGAGGGGGCTTTTCTTCCTTGGATTCTGTGGCCATGTCGTCCTGCATGATCAGATCCCGGCGCTCTTCATCGCATAGGTCTAACCCCCCCATCCCTGGCACAGAAGCTTCCCCTCCGACCCCCTCCATGAAGAACTCCTTCAGCTCAGCTTCAAGGTCCGAGGCGGTCTCCTCTTCTCCTCTTGCATGGTCCTGCTTCGTCTGTTTCCCAGGACGCATCGCCTCCGATTGCAAGCAGGGTCTTTTCCGGAGCTGCCTGGCCTGCTCATCTACCCCCCTCGGATCTACTTCCCCCGCAGCTTGTGCCGGTGACACCGGCTGGGCTGCTGGCTGGGCTGCTGGCTGGGCTGCTGGCTTGGCTGCTGTAGACTTGGCTTTGGCGGCTGCTTTTGCTTTTGGCATGCCGGCTTTCACAGGCTTTGGCTTGGGAGCACTCGGCCAAAGGAGTTCATCACCCTCGTCAACAGCGGAAGTACAAACAAACTTGGCGAAGACATCGCCATCCTCTCGAAGAAGGTCCACGTTGCTCCCTACTTTCTGCTGGAAGCCCTCCTCAGGGATGGATGACCTCAGGAACGGCCATAAGTCTGAGCAAGATGCTGTCAAGGCGTAACGCTTCGCACGTCCAATCCCGTCCAGCTGTGGGTGGATGATGGTGACTACATCCTCTGCTGGAGCACTGTCGTCGCTCAGAAGTTGCCAGCGCCTTGCAAAGCACGGTCTGTTCATGACACATCAGGTAAGCAAGTGCGCTGCACTGCATACACATAATCACGAAACCCTAACCCTAAACCCTAAACCCTAAACCCTAAACCCTAAACCCTAAACCCTAAACCCTAAACCCTAAACCCTAAACCCTAAACCCTAAACCCTAAACCCCTAAACCCTAAACCCTAAGCCCTAAGCCCTAAGCCCTAAGCCCTAAACCCTAAACCCTAAACCCTAAACCCTAAACCCTAAACCCTCAAGGCCAGGATAAATAGAAATTGTAGGTGTTTCATTGCGTGCAATAATCCTTCATCCTTCACAATGCAAAAAAAATTAGACCCTCTGCGTGATCCCGAACCCCAGCCCCAGCCAGTCCAGCCCACCCAGCCCCACCCACCTGGCCTCCAAGCCTCCCTCCAGCCCCAGGCCTCAGCCCCTCCAGGCCCCTCCAAGCTCCAGCCCCTCCAGCCCCTCACCCCTCAGCAGCCCCTCCAGCCCCTCCACCCCCTCCAGCCCCTCCAGCCAGCCCCTCCAGCCCCTCTAGCCCCTCCAGCCCGCCCCTCCAGCACCAGCCCTCTCCAGCCCTCTCCAGCCCCTCCAGCCCCCTCCAGCCCCAGCCCCCTCCAGCCCCAGCCCTCTCCAGCCCCTGCCTTTCCAGCCAGGCCCTCCAGCCCCTCCAGCCCCTCGCCGCCAATGTCCAGCCCACACCCAACACCCCAGCCCCAGCCCATCCCAGCTCTACAAGCCCCAGCACCCCCCCAGCCCCCAGCAAAAGCAAAAACAAAAAACCCTGCAAAACCCCCCAAAACCAGGCAAAACCCCCCAAACCCGGCAAAACCCCCCAAAACTCTGGACAGATACAATTCCTATAAACCCTAAACCCTAAACCCTAAACCCTAAACCCTAAACCCGAAACCCTAAACGTTCGACTGTGTCGCCTTGCTAGCAGCAGTTTGCATGCAGTTTGCCTGTGTGGCCTTGCTTGCTGCAGAGGCGCTGAGGCAACACCATGATCACATCACCCTTTTCGAACTTACGCATGGCAAACAGACCCTTTTCGTTTGGAACCGCCAGGCTGTTGGCCAGGCAAACGTCATGCCGGATGCATGCCTGGCTCTGGGCCAGGCATGCGGGCAGGAACATGTTGGGACTCATCTCCGAGCTGCTGGTTTGCCCGGCGCTGCTGGGCTTGGCGTTGCTAGCTTCGAGGATAATGTGGTTCTGGTAATCTGCCTTGCCGGTGGACACAGCCATTGCCGCAAGGATTTCCGGCACTTCTGGAGTGGTGGGCAGCTGGGCAGCAATCGTGTCCAGCGCAAAGTCGCTGTCCGTTTTGATGAGGATGCGTTTCTGCAACTTCGATTTTTCCAGCGCCTCCAAGCTGTTCCGCAAGTCTGCGTTGTCAGATATGCACTTGAGGGGAGCTGGCAGCAAAAGCCGGGCCAAATTGAGAGCAAAACGCCCCCGCATGTCCAGCACCGCCAACATCTTCCCGGCACGCAAAACATTCAAGCCCTCGAGAAGCTCAAGGACTTGCTTCTCCTCCTCCGCAGCAGTTAGGTTCAGAGCCTTGCGCAGGGCCCTGAACCGAAAGGTCAGCAAAAACCCCATCACTTACACACACACTATCGAGGCCGGGGCGCCCCCGTTCTCATGGCTGTGGAGGAAAGCAACATTTTTAGCAGCTCTGAAGCTTGTTCTGCAACATCTTGCTTCTCGTGGTTCAATAACACTACGGCGGAGGAGAGGGCGCCAAGCTGCTTCAACTGCAGCGGCAGCTTGGTTGCTGCGGTCTTCATCATTGTTTCCGCGATGATGAGTTCTGCCTTCCGAGCTTCGGGATGCCATGCCGGAGGTAAGCAAACCACAACACAGCCCTTGGGCTCCGAGGCAGCCACCAGGCTTGTCAAGAGATCCACCGTGAGATCCCGTGTTGCGGCAGATGTAACCACAACGCAAACGGAGTCACCTTCAGAAGACCCCAGCGTCGCCACGCTGGAGCTTGGCACTGCAGAGAGGATGCTGCCCTTCTGCCGAGATAGCGCCTGCTGGAGGCCATCGAGCTTTCTAGCGGTCAACTGCGTCATGTCCGCATCACGCCGTTCCATGAGTGCTTTCATCTTCAAGAAGTAAGCTTTCAAATCGGCTTTGTACGCCTGCATGCCTGCTAGGAGCAGGGCGCCCACATCATCCTTCTGAGATTCTTTTCGCTTGAAGACCGCGCATGCCTCTCGAGCAGCTTCCTCAGCAGCTTGGATATGCATGTTCTGCTGGTTCAGATTCGCCGCAGCCACGCACTTTCGGACGAAGGACCATGCTGGAGCCGCAACCTCTGGTTGCGTGGTGTGCATGATAATGTTGTCCAGGATTCCAGTCTGAAAGTCCTGGTAGACCTCAGCAAAATCTATCCCAGGATACTTGGATTTAACCGCATCCATGCCGACCCGGAATTTGTGGCTCACAATCTTCATCTTGCAGCGGTTCTCCACACTCAGCTCCTGCAGAGAACTAGAAAGCACACGCAGCAAGCAGTCCGGCAAAGAACGCTTGCCCCACTGTTGCTGCAATCTAACAGTCCTCCATTCTCTGCACACTCGACAAGCTTTTTTTGCACTCCAACTTGAGAGGCGGATCTTTGCGCGCAGCGCACGTCACCATGGTAGACAGCCTTGGTGTTGGTAGGCAAGCAAGAAGGGGCGCAGTTTCCCAACTAATGTTCTCATCTGTGGAGCAGGACAAGGCCGAGGCACCAGCGACCCACCATGAGACACCAATCCTCCGGACACTGAACAGAATCAGCTGCTCGCTGGCGGTGGAGGGCAGGCAGCAAGAACTTCGAGTCACGGATCCAGTTGAGTGGGAAGGGTGCGCCGGAAACATTCTTCTCGATCATCCAGGCCTCAAGGAGATCCACACCGTCGGATGGAACTCGAGGAATCACCTTCAGGTACAGCACACGAGGAGTCGTGTGGAGAGAAAACTGACTTTCAGCCTTCAGGACGCCTTAAACCCAAGAAACCCGTGGTCGAGATGTCGAGACTCTTGCACATGTATATACAAGGCACCATCATGATGGCGCAACCTGGCCTTTTCGAGGCTAGTCCACTCGAACATGCGCGTGCTCTCCTTGTACTTCGATGTAACCGCCCGGCCCAGCGCTGCCCCATCTTGCTCGGCCCACAGCATCCGGGATGCCTTGAGGAGCTCCAACCATGACACCTCCAAAGCCTGTGATAGATTGAGGGTGCGGCCTACGCCGTCGGCCACGACTTCCTCGCAACGGAGCCACTCGAAAAGAAGCGTAGGCCAGTAGGCACCGGACTCACATACTGTGATGCTTTTATATACATTTTTTTTCTCTCTCTCTCTCTCTCTCTCTCTCTCTCTCTCTCTCTCTCTCTCTCTCTCTCTCTCTCTCTCTCCCTCCCCCGCCGGAAAACAGCGAGTGAAAGACAACTACGCCACAACACTCCTGGCGGCTTCGATGACCGGCATTCTCCACTTTCACAGCTGTCGCCATCTCGACGAGCCAAAAGGGCAGGTCTTGTTGCGTTTTCCAGAAGGTGTACAGTAGAGCGAACATCGCACACATGCGGTGGTGACCCTTCACGTAACACCAGGAGTCGTCGACGCGCGCCAACAGGATGGTATCCCAATCTCGCCACTCCATAGCGGCGCAGAGTGTGGTCATTTTATCGCCTCAGACAACATCGGGATATGTCTCCGCTCGCAAGATTTTGTACAAACAGAAGCATCAAGAATCTAAGAGTAGCACTCAATCCAGCGATGGAGACCGTACGGTGTCCACAGTCCATATGTGGAGAGCATGGCAAGAACGACAGGGGCACTGTAGCAACAGCACCTGCCTCCGGCATCACTGCTTGCGTTTTGTGGTGGCCTTGGCTGTCGGTTCGGATGTCCTGGGAGTGGGGGGAACTGGTGCCATTGCATAAAACAGCGCCTTGCATTGGAGGAACCGCAGACCGTCTTCAGCCAACCAGAGAAGTCGTCGCAAGGATTCTGCAGCTGCTGCAGAAGCTCGGCACCATGCTGTCGAGCCCATAGCACACAATCCTGCCACTGCGGAGTGAAGGAAACCCCCGACCCCCAACCTAGCCTGGAAGCAAGCATTATAAGTCACTCAGGCCTACCTGGAAGAAGCGCGGACGGCCGGGGCAGGTCCGTCCGCCGGACATAAGGCCGTAAATCCGCCGGACTTTAGGCTCCGGACATCCATAAGTTCGGCGGACTTCAGGCATCTCGCACCGGGAGGGAACACCACCAGCACCTCTGGGCCAGGATGGGCCCAACAGCAAGGGCCTTAAGTCCGCCGGACTTAAGGCTCCGGACGTCCCCCGACGTCCAGGCGGACGTCCATACGCAGTGCCGCGGTGAGTCTCTGCATGCTGTCTGGACGTCTACCCGGACGTCCGGGGACGTCTCAGGCCTTAAGTCCGGCGGACTTAAGGCATATCTCGCCTGAAGGCCGGCGGACTGAAGGCATATCTCCGCACCGTCCGGGGACATGTCAAGCCATAAGTCCGGCGGACTCACGGCATCTCCCACTGGGAGTGAACCGATGGGCCTGTGGATTCGAACGGCCAGAAACACCCCATCCCGCCGCAAGCCCTGACGGACGCTACTGCCCGTTTCGACATCAAGCACCATGCAAGCACCCACTGGCCTCTAAAGCTAGCTGGGGGGCTGTCTGCTTAGCTGGGGGGCTGTTTGCTTACGCACCATAAAGGGTACTAAGCTGGGGGGCTGTTTGCTTACGCACCATAAAGGGTACTAAGCCTCACGTTAAGCCTAAAGGCACCCCATCCCGCCCAAAGCTCAGGACTGGGGCCGTCCTCTGGCGCTGGAGCCAGGTCCGCATCCAGTGCTACGGCTTCCACAGCCATGGCTGGTAGGCACGACTCTTTGAATCTTTGGATCTCTGGAGCCCCCACTCGGATCGTCGGACGCTGTACACCCACTCCCACCATACAACAAACCCCAACCCCTAAACCCTAAACCCTAAACCCTAAACCCTAAACCCTAAACCCTAAACCCGTAACCCTAAACCCTTAATCCCTAAACCTTTTTTTTCTCCCCTCCTGCGAACATCCTCCCCAGACGGGAAAAACCGCCTGGCCGGGCAGCACGATCCCCATGCCCCCTCCCGCAGAGGCGACCTTGAAGTTTCCTTAGGGCAGAAATAGTATACGGTAACGGTCAGTAAATATAACCGAACATGGACGACCACAGAATCTTCAAGTAAGGCCACTGACCCCGCAGCAACGTCTGTACAACAAGGCCCGCGTGAGACGCACGGACTTCCGCCCCGCAGTTCCATGTCTTCAAGAGTCCACCTGCGCCATGCGCGTAGCCGTGCTAGTATGGCTTCTTGTCGGGTCCTGGCGGGGGGGGGGCCTGAACGTCAACTTCTGACATGGTTTGAGACACCTCACGGCCGTGCTGCCTCTTGGGCAGCTCGAAAGACAAGCTGCGTGGCTGCAAGTCTTCCGGCCGCTTCCTTGCTTTTTTCGAGGGCGGCGTCGCAGGAGGCGGTGTCACTGGATCGGCCCCCCCAATCTCGTGGCTGCCAATCTCGTGGCTGTGGCATGGAAAGAGAACCCCGAACCTGAATGCTTGCTGGCCGAGACAAGTCGAGGAGACCACCTCGGCCTCTTGTTCACTCCAATTGCGGCCTATGTAAAGATCGCACATAGAGTCGCAAGGAGGCAAGGACGAAACGTCAATGGAGATCTTGTGACCCGTCCAGCGCTGACTGATCTCGATGCGCCCCCCTTTCTGGACTTCCCCGCCCAAGCAGTAGATGCCCTGCGTGTGCCAATCGGGCGGAAGGGTCAGATTGAGGCCTCGGCCTCTCTTTCGGCACCGTTGCCGAAGATACTCCACGACAGTGGTCATGGTCCGACAGCAGCCTACAAGCTGGAAACCAGGCCCGACACCTGTCAAGTACTCGACAATCTGGGCCAAGCCTTGTCTGGATCCTGCGGATGGATATTTGACCGCCAACCGCCTCAGCCTGGATGGAGTAAAACTGGGCTCCAACGCGGGTAGCACCTTCCTTAGAAAAGACGCAGGGAAGGCATCACAAGCTCACCGAGCACTCACAGGAAGCGCTCTCCAACAGCCGCACATCCAACATCCGCACGTGCTAGCAAGACTCGTCTGCCACGTGTTCACTCGAACATCTCCGAGGCTCCTCACGTTACCTGGTATTGCGTCGTGGCCAACGACAACCTCCCAAATGGCTTCAACGAGCGTCGGGTCCTTTTCCATGAGTTCGCAGATCCGCCGCTTTCTCTCGTCATGCCGAGATGCCATGAGTTTGTCTGGCGCGTGCGTCTTCAATCTGCTTCAAACCGCGGGTTTTTGCGGACATCCTAGCCCTGCTTATCCAGATGAATTCAAGCCAACATCCACCTTCCCAACATAACCTCATGATTCGTCTCGATCCGTTTCGACAGCTACACCTTCCCAGCGCAGACTACAGAGCATGGGCCTTGGGCAAGGATGCGCAAAGAAAGGTGAGGAAACTTCGTCTTGCATCTTGTCATGTGCACATGTTGCAAAAAACTACCCTGCCATCTTTGCCGCGCACACTTCCGGGCCACCCAGGCCGCCGAGTCTGCAGCATCATGTTACGCCACAGAAGATGACACAACCGCTTGGTTGGTCTCAGGCCCCGCCCACATCATCGTGTGGCTTTGTTCTTGTACCACGCCAGCTCTCGACGACTTTCTTGCAGCTGTCCTGCATCATGAATTCCCTGGCCAGAGACTGTCCGTCCCGGCCAGAGACTATCTGAACATGTGTCGTTCAAACATGCGTTAGGATGTGGGAAACATGCTAGGCAGCACGCATCCTTCTAGCATCGTGATGTGCTCCGCGCGTCGATCCAGCTCTTGCTTGGTGTAGTAGTACTCTTGCCGCAAACTGCGAAACTTCTGGAGGAGCTCGGCATTCAGGTCGTCCGTGCCAGGGTCTTGTGAAGGAACGGATGCCGCTACAGCCTGGGGCTGCGCTGCCGACACCGCAACGTCTGAGGGCTCTTGCTTGACAACGGGCGCCTGTGCAAGCAGAACTGATGTGCAGGAGCAACGCAACGCATGTGTGTTTTCTAACATCGGAGCCTTCTCCTTCTTGGGATCCTTCGCGAATGGGAGGACGATGTATGCACCTCTAGCCGGGCGTGGGATGGTCTTGGATCCTCGGACGACCCTACGCTAGGCCCCGCCTGCAGGCAATCGCGGTCGTGAACTAGGCTTCCGCGCCTTTTCGTACTGGCGCTGTTTCTTGCGTCGGTGGTCCTTCTTGGCCTGTTCTAGCTTCTTTTTGCTGAGACCCTTGCGCTTGGCGCCCGACAGCTTCGTGGCCGGCTTGTCCTTCCTGGTCCTCTTGCTGCTGCCCACGCGGGCTTGCTTGTTGTGAGTGGCGATCGTGCGCTGCGCTGGCGCTCTCGCCATAACTAGGGGCTCAAACCAGGAAGAGTATGGACTGTGATACTCTGGAGCCACATCTTGAGCCAAAGACGATCACGCGATCACACTTCCATGTCCACGACAAGGGGTGCGCCAAACTTGAAATGAGACAACAGTTGCATCAGTTGTGTGAACACGACAAAGCTCCAGAATAAGTGTTGCAGAAGACTCGGCGCCGCCTTTCCTAGCCTTGCCCGAGCCTTGGCCGGGAAATTCTGCCGGGTGCCCGCCACCCAGCTGCCGGGCACCCGCCGCCCAGCTGGCAGGTGTCCGGCTTAAACACTTAAGTTCTGATCGAAGCTACGTGTTCCGAAAGTGTTTCTTGGTTTTGCGGCATTCACATTCCTAGAAGCGCTTTTTTGGTTCTACAGAGCTTCTACTTCTTAAGGTTCTTGGGCATTCTCAGGGCTCCAATCAGGTTGAGATCTGAAATCCGCAACCTTGGCTTTCCGAGATAGCCGGGTGCCCGCCGTCCAGCTGCCGGGTGCCCAGCTTCATTATTGAAATTCAGAAGCTAGACGTTCCCAAACGTGTTTCTTTGTTTTGCACAGAATTCCTAGAAGAGCTTCTACTAGGTTTTGCAGAGAGGTCACGCCCAGCTGCCGGGCGCCCGCCGCCCAGCTGCCGGGTACCCGCCGCCCAGCTGGCAGGTGTCCCAGCTGGCAGGTGTCCGCTTAAACACTTCAAGTTCTGATCGAAGCTACGTGTTCCTAAACTGTTTCTTGGTTTCGCGGCATTCACATTCCTAGAAGCGCTTTTTTGGTTCTACAGAGCTTCTACTTCTTAAGGTTCTTGGGCATTCTCAGGGCTCCAATCAGGTTGAGATCTGAAATCCGCAACCTTGGCTTTCCGAGGCTGCCGGGTACCCGCCGTCCAGCTGCCGGGTGCCCAGCTTCATTATTGAAATTCAGAAGCTAGACGTTCCCAAAAGTGTTTCTTTGTTTTGCACAGAATTCCTAGAAGAGCTTCTAGGTCTTGCAGAGAGGTCACGCCCAGCTGCCGGGCGCCCGCCGCCCAGCTGCCGGGCACCCGCCGCCCAGCAGTTCTGATCGAAGCTATGTGTGCCTAAAGCGTTTCTTGGTTTTGCGGCATTCCTTCTACAATTCTTCGGCATTGCGATGGCTCCAAACAAGTTGAAACCGTGAATCCGCAACCTCAAATTCCCGAATGGGCTACCTGAGGCATTCCGTGGCTTTGAGTGCCCAGCTTCATTACTTCAGATGCTGAGCTACACATTCCTAGAAGCGCTTTTTTGGTTCTACAGAGCTTCTACTTCTTAAGGTTCTTGCACATTCTCAGGGCTCCAATCAGGTTGAGATCTGAAATCCGCAACCTTGGCTTTCCCAGATAGCCGGGTGCCCGCCGTCCAGCTGCCGGGTGCCCAGCTTCATTATTGAAATTCAGAAGCTAGACGTTCCCAAAAGTGTTTCTTTGTTTTGCACAGAATTCCTAGAAGAGCTTCTAGGTTTTGCAGAGAGGTCACGCCCAGCTGCCGGGCGCCCGCTGCCCAGCTGCCGGGTACCCGCCGCCCAGCTGGCAGGTGTCCCAGCTGGCAGGTGTCCGCTTAAACACTTCAAGTTCTGATCGAAGCTACGTGTTCCTAAACTGTTTCTTGGTTTCGCGGCATTCACATTCCTAGAAGCGCTTTTTTGGTTCTACAGAGCTTCTACTTCTTAAGGTTCTTGGGCATTCTCAGGGCTCCAATCAGGTTGAGATCTGAAATCCGCAACCTTGGCTTTCCGAGGCTGCCGGGTACCCGCCGTCCAGCTGCCGGGTGCCCAGCTTCATTATTGAAATTCAGAAGCTAGACGTTCCCAAAAGTGTTTCTTTGTTTTGCACAGAATTCCTAGAAGAGCTTCTAGGTTTTGCAGAGAGGTCACGCCCAGCTGCCGGGCGCCCGCCGCTCAGCTGCCGGGTACCCGCCGCCCAGCTGGCAGGTGTCCGCTTAAACACTTCAAGTTCTGATCGAAGCTATGTGTTCCTAAAGCGTTTCTTGGTTTTGCGGCATTCCTTCTACAATTCTTCGGCATTGCGATGGCTCCAAACAAGTTGAAACCGTGAATCCGCAACCTCAAATTCCCGAATGGGCTACCTGAGGCATTCCGTGGCCTTGAGTGCCCAGCTTCATTACTTCAGATGCTGAGCTACACATTCCTAGAAGCGCTTTTTTGGTTCTACAGAGCTTCTACTTCTTAAGGTTCTTGGGCATTCTCAGGGCTCCAATCAGGTTGAGATCTGAAATCCGCAACCTTGGCTTTCCGAGGCTGCCGGGTACCCGCCGTCCAGCTGCCGGGTGCCCAGCTTCATTATTGAAATTCAGAAGCTAGACGTTCCCAAAAGTGTTTCTTTGTTTTGCACAGAATTCCTAGAAGAGCTTCTAGGTCTTGCAGAGAGGTCACGCCCAGCTGCCGGGCGCCCGCCGCCCAGCTGCCGGGTACCCGCCGCCCAGCTGGCAGGTGTCCGCTTAAACACTTTAAGTTCTGATCAAAGCTACGTGTTCCTAAAGTGTTTCTTGGTTTTGCGGCATTCCTTCTGCAATTCTTCGGCATTGCGATGGCTCCAAACAAGTTGAAACCGGGAATCCGCAACCTCAAATTCCCGAATGGGCTACCTGAGGCATTCCGTGGCTTTGAGTGCCCAGCTTCATTACTTCAGATGCTGAGCTACACATTCCTAGAAGCGCTTTTTTGGTTCTACAGAGCTTCTACTTCTTAAGGTTCTTGGGCATTCTCAGGGCTCCAATCAGGTTGAGATCTGAAATCCGCAACCTTGGCTTTCCGAGGCTGCCGGGTACCCGCCGTCCAGCTGCCGGGTGCCCAGCTTCATTATTGAAATTCAGAAGCTAGACGTTCCCAAAAGTGTTTCTTTGTTTTGCACAGAATTCCTAGAAGAGCTTCTAGGTCTTGCAGAGAGGTCACGCCCAGCTGCCGGGCGCCCGCCGCCCAGCTGCCGGGTACCCGCCGCCCAGCTGGCAGGTGTCCGCTTAAACACTTTAAGTTCTGATCAAAGCTACGTGTTCCTAAAGTGTTTCTTGGTTTTGCGGCATTCCTTCTGCAATTCTTCGGCCTTGCGATGGCTCCAAACAAGTTGAAACCGGGAATCCGCAACCTCAAATTCCCGAATGGGCTACCTGAGGCATTCCGTGGCTTTGAGTGCCCAGCTTCATTACTTCAGATGCTGAGCTACACATTCCTAGAAGCGCTTTTTTGGTTCTACAGAGCTTCTACTTCTTAAGGTTCTTGGGCATTCTCAGGGCTCCAATCAGGTTGAGATCTGAAATCCGCAACCTTGGCTTTCCGAGGCTGCCGGGTACCCGCTGTCCAGCTGCCGGGCGCCCAGCTTCATTATTGAAAATCAGAAGCTAGACATTCCCAAACGTGTTTCTTTGTTTTGCACACACTTCCTAGAAGAGCTTCTAGGTTTTGCAGAGAGATCCTTCCCAAATTCGGCACCTCACACATTGTGGCTGCCTGATGCCCGCCTCAGCCGCCGGGTGCCCGCCGTCCAGCTGCCGGGCACCCGCCGCCCAGATGACGGGTACCCACCGCCCACCTCAAGTTCTGATCGAAGCTATGCGTTCCTACAAGTGTTCCTTGGTTTTACGGCATTCCTTCTATACACTTCTTCGGCATTGTTAGTGCACCAAACAGGTTGAGACCTGGAATCCGCAACTTTCCTTCCCGAATCCGTCGCCCGAGGCGTTCCGTGGCTGCCGGGCGCCCGCCGCTCAGCTCCTGGGCGCGCGCTCGGCTTCATTATCCGCCGACCCCCAGAACGGGGGCGGTGTCAGTGAAGACTCAGGGGCCTCGGGCCTCTGAAGTGGGGTTTAGGGTTTAGGGTTTAGGGTTTGGGGTTTGGGGTTTAGGGTGCAGGGGTTAGCGGGGGTGTTTGCAAGAGCGCGGTCTTCTTCCGCTGTGACGGCTTCGCGTTGCTTGGGGGCCAAAATCTGGTGATTCTCGGGTGAACGGCCCAACCGCATGAACTCCGGCAACCCTATGTAAACCCTATGTAAACCCCAAACCCTGCAACCTTTCACCGTAAAACCTACAAGGACATTATGCCCAACCTGAATTTTCAATGCGAAAACCTTTCAAGGACTTAGGACAGGGAACCCACCCCATCAAATCCCTTCGTGCCCAGAGCTTGAGTTTGCAGATGCGCGAGCTTCTCATCTTAACCTTTGAATCAAACTGTCAGCCAACCGCCCAACCCTCAACCCTCAACCCTCAACCCTCAACCCTAAACCCTAAATCCTAAACCCTAAACCCTAAACCCTAAACCCTAAATCCTAAACCCTAAACCCTAGAGCCTACACCCGGTCATCAGCTATGGCGGCCCTCTGCGGCGCCTTCCACCGCCGGCCTCGAGCTTCGAATTCATTGGGTTTAGGGTTTATATATGGTTAGGGTTTAGGGTTTAGGGTTTAGGGTTTAGGGGTTTCGGGTTTAGGGTTTTCGGGTTTAGGGTTTCGGGTTTCGGGTTTAGGAGTTAGGGTTTAGGGTTTCGGGTTTAGGGTGAACCCCGCGCCCTAAAATCTCAACTCTAAACCCGAAGTCCCCAGCCCTGGGAGTTCGGAGTCTCGGGTTTTCGGAGTTAGGTTGGAACTGAACTTACCGGTTCTGGGGAAATAGAGAATTTCGGTGCCGTGCGTAGTCGCTCGAGTAGTGGTATAGGCGGATATAAGGTTGCGAATTCCCTCATGCCGCCTAAGCCCTAAGCCCTAAGCCCTAAGCCCTAAGTCCTAAGCCCTAAGCCCTAAGCCCTAAGCCCTAAACCCTAAACCCTAACCCTAAACCCTAAACCCTAAACCCTAAACCCTAAACCCTAAACCCTAAACCCTAAACCCTAAACCGCTCCAATGCTTAGGCATGCTTATGCGATTTGGTGTTCGGCTTTCAGTCGGCAGTTGCCCATAGGGATGTCGAGTGTTGGGGCTTGGGGGGGAACGTTGAGTTGTGGAGTAGTTGTGGTAACCCTAAACCTTA